TATTTTATTTATCTAACAAGGATCTGACAACAGTTTCAATCCTATAGTATCCTCAAGCCTTCCTCGGTTATGTTCTAGATAGAGTTATACAATATACAGATTAATGAGCAGCACTCACATAAAAAAAACAGTTTTAAATTTTGTAAGGCTATTTAAAATCACCTATCTCAGCAAACAAATATGTGGATTCAGTTCCACCATATGGCCATAGTGCCTTGCTCCTTAATTTGTATATTGTATAAATGTTGGTGTCTACGGCAGCACTATTGCTGAGAAATGCATGCTCCGAGCGTGCCCCTAATTCCTTGTTTTCCTGACTAGTTAGATTTATCATCATGCTCACAGAATAGAAATAAATTGTTACCCTGATTGCTCTGTGACAATGGGGAATAATAGTGTTTGAACAATTTTTTTTATTTTTTTTTAAATACTGGTATTGGCAATATTGGCATGTCTCTATTCCTTATTCAAGGGAATGCTACAATTAAAATGTTGCTAAAAAATATTTATAAAGATACAAAGAACAAATATTCTACTTTAAAAGGATACAGGCTCTTTGAGAACAAAGGGACTAGAAATGGCCCAAACTAAATTTGAAAATGTATGCACCAACTCAAAACCGATACATAGATATGTAAGTATTATACACTCTTATGAAGGAAGCCGTGGCTCGGGTCTCCCTCCTTTTGCCAGATTATGGTCTGACCTTGGTATCACTTTGTCCAAGAGGGATTGGGGTGATATGTTTACTTTGATGCACTCTTCCTCCATAGATTCCTCAATGTAACTTGTCAGTTATAAGCATCTTACACCTAAAAATTTACGTTAAAGTTCCACTACTACACCCAGGATTTAATTGAGATGCCACACTAAAGTAGGCATTACAGGTCACCTGTGGTGGCTCTGCCCAAAAATCAGACATTTCTCATAATCATGAATCTATTACTGGTGCAGTTATTGCCCAAACTGCTGATCCTTTCCTTTTGTCAAGGTTTACCGGAAGTTGGAGCCCAGGTGCAGGAGATGGCACAAAGAAGCAAAAAAACAAATTTCAGTACAGATGAAGGGGTGATCCAAATCCTTTTAGACTAAGGCAGCTCACTGGAAATGTCCTAAATCTCCATACCTTAAAAATGGAATTGATAAAGATCTAATTTCCATGGAGGAAATCAGATTTGCTTTATTGCATAACAACCAGAGTTACCTCTTGATATGGAAACTGCCGTTGAGCTTTTTTCGTAAATGCCCTCTTGGGGGAAGCCTTTTCTAGACCCATTGTATCTCTGCAAAGTAATGTGTTGTTCTGCTCTTACTTCTCAATTGAACTTATGTACTATTCTGCCAGTTTTGCACATCTTACCTCAAATACTGCAGTGGATATATTCTTTATGGAATCCACTTGCATTGGACTGCTATTATGTACTTTGTTAACTTCAAGTTCTTTACTATTTCGATACCGCACTGCATGTTCTCTGATATGTAATCATATTTGATTTTAGCATGATGTTGGTCATTTTTGTTCTTCAAAAATACAAATATTTTTATTTATTTTTTAAAAGCAATAGAAAAGTGTTTACAAAAACTTGTGGGCACCCAATTCTCTATACATCAATGCCTTCATTGATTACATGTTCATGAAAAATGACATTTTTTACTTTTTTTTAGATGCTTTTTTTTTAACTAGAATTTAGTGTTAAACATGTATAGTTAGTTTGTCCAGTATAGAGAGAGCATAAATGTAAAATTGCTGTTTATGATTACCTGTAAATTTAAAAAAAAAGTGTAAATGTACATAATGTTGCTTCCAAGAAATTCTATCATGTCCTTGACAAGTATCTGTAAGCAGGTTATGTAATCATTTTTATTTATCTTTTGTCATGCTTACTGAATGTGTTAAAATTGTATGTATGTCTCATAAAAATGTTTCGGATTCCTTCCTGAAAGGAAGAATCCTTTTTTTTTGTGCACTATTTAGTAGATATACACCCAACTAAAGCATGTATGGGTTTTTTTCTGCAATTTTTCATTGAGGTAAACCTCTGCTCATTATACTCAATTTGTTCCAGTGGAATTGACCAAACAGAGGCTTCACATTGAGAAACCTCTGTGCTGGACCTGCAATACAATGCTTTTCAATACTTTTTAATGAGCTGTAGTCCAGATCATTGAGAAGTGGGGAAGGCACTCACGCTCCAGTCCAGTACGTCTGACACTTTTCTTAGCTCTCTGGAGCTACCAGAAGAGGAAGAAAACCTCCACAACAGTTTTATTGACATCTCGGAAGGTGCTAAGGTATAGATTTTTAAAAGTGACTATTTCTAATAAATCAGCATTTTAATAAACTGTCAACAAACAAAAATAAAAAAATAACAGATTCCAGACACATGACACTCTTCAGCAAGCTTTATGTGTTTGGAGTGATTGAAATATTGCAAGATAAAAGGTCAATAAAACATTCTAAACATTTTCCTTTACTCAATTTTTAGATAAACTTAACCTGTCATGACAGACATAGGTTTGCAGGTTTCTAACCATCTGGCTTGACTCATGTTTTACAATTTGGTGTATCTTCCCCTAAAACTATTACAGGCTCATATTCTAATTCACACTCTCGCTGGAATTAGAAGGCCTTTAGAATAAATTCCTTTTTCAGCATGAATGCCTTTCCAGAAATAATTCTTCCATCTCTATTCAATATCTCATGGATTGGCTGAAAGGTGTGTGCTCAAAGAAAAAACAATAAAATTGTAGTGCACATTTAAAAATGTAGAAAAAATAATTTAATAACTTACATCAAAATATAAAACAATAGATGTAGTCTCACTGTCACCACCAGGGGTCCTACGCGTTTCGTCCGTGTATAGGACTTCCTCAGGGACTTCAGTGACCAGAAATGACAGCATACAAATAAGCAATAAAAATCCCTTTCCTCCTCCACCCTTTATACCTCCCCCAATGTCCACATAACTCTTCATTTAATCCAGGGGTTTTAATTTTCGGTCCGGCGTCTATGACGGCATCCTATGCGCCCATCAATCTCATATGCGTCCCACCATGCGTTCCACTGCCGAAACCGGGAAGTTTGCCGTAAATTATCTGTTTCTTCTCTATGTTCCTCTCAAGAACAAGCAAATTCGATATGTGTGGACCGGAGGCAAAGAAGAGCTTGGGGGGGGGATGTTATACGCTCAAAATGGCACTACAATGTTTAAATATACTATTTACACATAGCTTTTGCAGCCTGCTTACAGTGTTATACAAACATAAACTAAATAATACCCATACCTAAAGCACGCTATTATTTAAATAAGAAAAATGAGAATATAAATTATAAATTAAATAAAATTTAAAAATAATAAATATATATAATGAAAAAATAAAAAATAAAATAATAAAAAAATAAATAAAAAAATAAAGAGAATAATGAAAAAATAATGATAATGAAAATAAAAAATAATTATAAATATGAAGATGAAAATAATAATAATAAATAAAACTAATAATATATAAATGACAAATAAGGAAAATATAATTGAAAATAAAAATAAAAATAAAAATAAAAATAAATAAAAATAAAATATAAAATAAAAAATAAAAATGGAAATAAAGAATAAAAAATATATACTAAAAAAATCTTTACCAAGAGCACACACACTTATAAGATGAACAAAACGTGATGTCCCAACCTATGTTGCATTTTCTCCACCATTCCATAGGATATAAAATATCCATAATACCACTAAATGAATCTTTTTTTCTTTTTTTCTCATAAGTGGAATTTCTCCAAAGCAATACTCAATCAATTTAAGGTCAATATCACCACTTAATTGGAATTAGATGATTTAAATAGAATAAAAAATTTAATTGAATCGGGAAATGTAGATTAGAATTCTATGAATTTAGATTTTGATATAATTGGGATTCAACTAGAATTAAATGGATCTTAATTTAAATATAAACAAACAAGGGGGGATGATTTAATCATCCCAATACCCACTTTAAATTCAATGGTATAAAAAATATATCTACTTTCCATACCACAAAAAGATAAAAAATATAATATATATGGAAAAAATGCAGCATTTACATTAATAGTGCAGAGGGAAAAAAGTATATATGTACTTTTAATTTTCAAAAAAACTCCACAAATCTATATCTAAGTTTAATCCATCTGGTTGCAACGTCTTTAATTTGTTTATCCAGAAAGTTTCTCTCTGTGAAAGTTTCTTCATTAGATTGCCCCCTCTCCAATAAGGATCAACCTGCACTATACCCATGAAGGAAAAGTTGTTCCAATTAAATTCCCTGCAATTAATGCAATGAATCGGTGCTATATGTTTTGTTGACTTTTTCCTGATGTTATTTTGATGTTCCAAAATCCTCTCTTTTAATTTTCTACCAGTTCTTCCCACATACTGTTTCCCGCATGGGCACTGTAGCATGTAGACCACAAACTTGGAGTTGCAATTTATATTAGATTTAACCTTAAATTTCTCTTTGGTAGTTGTACTTATAAATTCTTTTCTTTGTATAGATCTCTGATTTTTACAAGCCTTACATGAATTGCAAGGATTAAAACCTTTGATGTTTAAGATTGTACCTTTCCGTGGAATTTTTAACACGTAACTTGGGGCTAATATATTTTTAAAATTTTTGGTTTTTTTGAAGATTATTGGTGCTTTTTTTGGAAGTACTTTTCCTAATATAGGATCTTTACATAGGATATCCCAATGCCTATTTAAAATCTTTTTTTATATTCCAATGCTGTGTATTATATTGTGTAATAAACGAAAATTGATCATCTTTTTTTGTTATTGGTTTTTTTGGGTTAGATTTCAAAAGATCTTTCCTATCTTTCTTTTCAATTTCTTTAATTTCTTTTTCTAATAGTGCTGGTTTATATTTCTTAGTTAGGAATTTATTTTTCAAATGTTTGGCCTGTTCCTGATAATCTATATCTCTTATATAATCTATATCTATATCTCTATAATCAAGGAATAGTTGTAATTCTTTATGTGATCCCTGCCAAATCATTATAACGTCAATGACGTTATAATGATTTGGCAGGGATCACATAAAGAATTACAGCTATTCCTTGATTATATTGGTAATAATGATTATGGTTTAAAATTTACCTATGAGATAGATCCCACTACAATTAACTTTTTGGATGTTTGTTTTTTTGTTGAAAATCAAACTATACAATTAAAATGCCATTTAAAAAAAACCGATGGTAACAGTTAAATACACAGAAAGAGTTGCCACCATGAGAAATGGTTTGAAACCATTCCAAGGAGCCAACTGACAAGAATACGACGAAATTGTTCAAGAGATATAGATTATCAGGAACAGGCCAAACATTTGAAAAAAAAATTAAAATAAAAGATTCATTTAGAGGTATTATGGATATTTTATATCCTATGGAATGGTGGAGAAAATGCAACATAGGTTGGGACATCACGTTTTGTTCACCTTATAAGTGTGTGTGCTCTTGATAAAGATTTTTTAGAATATATATTTTTTTATTCTTTATTTCCATTTTTATTTTTTATTTTATATTTTATTTTATTTTTATTTATTTTTATTTATATTTTCAATTATATTTTCCTTATTTGTCATTTATTTATTATTATTTTTATAAATTTTTATTATTTTCATCTTCATATTTATTATTATTTTTTATTTTCATTATCATTATTTTTTCATTATTCTCTTTATTTTTGTATTTATTTTTTATTTTTTTATTATTTTTTTATTTTATTTATTTTTTTATTATTTTTTATTTTTTCATTATATATATTTATTATTTTTAAATATTATTTAATTTATAATTTATATTCTAATTTTTCTTATTTAAATAATATCATGCTTTAGGTATGGGTATTATTTAGTTTATGTTTGTATAACACTGTAAGCAGGCTGCAAAAGTTATGTGCAAATAGTATATTTAAACATTGTAGTGCCATTTTGAGTGTATAACATCCCGCCCTCCCCCCCTCTTCTTTGCCTCCGGTCCACACATATCGAATTTGCTTGTTCTTGAGATGAACATAGAGAAGAAACAAATCATTTAAGGTGAACTTCCGGGTTTCGGCAGTGGAACGCATGGTGGAACGCATATGAGATTGACGGGCGCATAGGATGCCGTCATAGATGCCAGACGCCGGACCGAAAATTAAAACACCTGGATTAAATGAAGAGTTATGTGGACATTGGGGGAGGTATAAATGGTGGAGGAGGAAAGGGATTTTTATTGCTTATTTGTATGCTGTCATTTCTGGTCACTGAAGTCCCTGAGGAAGTCCTATACACAGACGAAACGCGTAGGACCCCTGGTGAAAAAGGAATTTATTCTAAAGGCCTTCTAATTCCAGTGAAAGTGTGAGTGGCCATTTGTGAATTGTACACTTGGTTTATTCATATACACAGTTATGCGCTATGTATTGTTCTTGTCATTGATTTAGCAGATTATCCCCTATTTTTCTGTACACATTCTACTGAAGACAAGAGGAAGTCTTCTAGGAAGTCCTACCTGGTTCAGGGAGGTTTTTTTCTGCTATTTATCTACCGAGCACTTATTGCACTGTGGTTTGCACACATATTGTTTTTTGTATCATATTCTAATTCATTTGCATTATCCCTGTCTCCTGCTGAGTCCAGAGCGTGAAGATAATGCTCACCCTTGCTAAATATTGCAGCCCACGATGACTAGCTAAATCAGCTATAGTTTTAGATATATGTTTTTTTGTTTTGTGTGTGTTTGTGCAGCAATAGAGGAACAAAGGGAAGTTTACTATCTCGAGATGAAAGGAAAGAGATTTGAGAAACTCTAATGATAAGAATGTTAACTCTTAATGTCCAAGGTATGAATACAATAACAAAAAGGTCTTTAATATATAAATATTTAGTCACTGAACATATTGATTTGGGATTTTTCCAAGAAACCCATTGGAGACAGTCAGATAAACAAACGTGGGGTGGAAAAAAATTCCCGCTCATTATACAGGCCTCAAATAGAGATAGAAAAAAATGTGGTGTAGCCATAATATTCAGTGAAAAAATAGAGGTAGAAATAATTCAACAAATACAAGATGTAGAAGGTAGATTCTTGATAATAATATGTAAAATCAATTCTAAGATATTCACACTTTGTAATGTCTATCTCCCAAATTATTTACCAGCTTCTCACTTAAGATCTATCTTAGAAAAAATAGAAGAAGTAAAAGTGGGAAACTTAATATTGGCTGGAGATTTTAATGCAGTTATCGACCCACAATTAGACAAAAAAACTATGAAAGGAGTCAAAATAAATAAGATGGTAATTAAACAAGCTAAATCCTTAAAAAACATAAAGGATGAATTCAATTTGTTCGATATCTGGAGGATTCACAATCCAAATCTAAGAGATTATACACACTTCTCCAAAGTCCATTTTTCTTACTCAAGGTTAGACATGATTTGGATTGATCCTAATTTAATCGACAAAATTCAAAAAGTAAATATAAACGAAATAGTTTGGACAGATCATAACGGTGTAGTATGTGTAATAGAAGTAGGAAAAAACACAAAAAAGCCATATAGTTGGCGTTTAAATGACAGTTTGCTCAGTTTTGAAGCAAATAAAAAATTTATGGAAGTAAACATAAGTAATTATTTTAAAGAAAATAACACAGAGGATATCGATCCATCCACTTTGTGGTGCGCCTTTAAAGCGGTAATAAGAGGTTATTTTATTAAACTCCAAAGCCAAACTGATAGGGGTACTAGTTTATCTCACCTCTATGGTCAGTTAGGGAAGTTGACTCAAAACAATAAATATAATCCAACAGTTGAAAATTCTGAAGAAATATCGGCAATAAAGGACAAAATTAACCAAAAACTAATGGAAAGAACAGTTAAAAGCTTAGATAGATTAAAATTAAAATATTATTCTAAGGGCAACAGAGCCGATAAACTGTTATCACAAAAATTAAGAAAACAAAAGGGTATAAATAAAGTAGAAAAACTTATAAACAATGGAACAACTGTAGTAACCCCAAAACTAATAGGACAACAATTTAACGATTTCTATAGTAAGTTATATAACATTCCTCAAACTACGACAGAGGAAGACATAAAAAATATTTAGAAAAAATAAACAATTTTAAATTAACAGAATTACAAAGTGAAGCAATAAATAAAGATATAACTATAGATGAAATAATGAAAGCTATAAATAATTTGGAGGAGTATAAAACCCCAGGTCCAGATGGATTTAGTAATTTATTCTATAAAATATTCAAAGAATCAATTTGCCCTTATATGACTAGTGCCTTTAACAGTGCGGCTAAAAGAGGATCTCTTCCAACAGAGATGTTAAAAGCTAATATTCTACCAATTTTAAAACAAAACAAAAACCCTACTGATGTTAAAAATTACCGTCCAATATCTTTGATAGATGGTGACACTAAATTATATGCTTCAGTGTTGGCCGCTAGACTCAAAAAACTTTTACCACTGATCATACATCAAGATCAAGTAGGTTATGTTCCCGGCAGAAACTCTTATACAAGTATTAGGAAAATTGTCAACATCTTAGATGACGCTAATAGAAAAAGAGTTCCAGTTTTGGCTCTGTCGATTGATGCTGAAAAAGCATTCGACAGAGTCAACTGGATTTATTTGGATGCGGTATTGTCACACTATGGGTTTGATGGTTGGATTAAGAAAGCCATCATGGCCCTTTATGCAAATCCATCAGCACGTACTAAAGGACCAAATATCATAGCCCCATGGTTCCAACTGAAAAATGGCACACGACAGGGATGTCCACTCTCACCGTTATTATACTTGCTTTCTATTGAACCATTAGCCGAAAATATTAGAAACAATAAAAAAATCTATGGCTATAAAACATTAGATGTAGAACAGAAATTAAGTCTATATCCTGATGACATCTTAATTACCATAACAAAACCGGAAATTTCATTAGATTTTTTAATGTCAGAAATTGACAACTATAGTAAAATATCTAATTATAAATTAAATATAAATAAATCTATGATTCTGGATATTAATTTGGATGAACAAATGAAAAATAAGATTAAAGATAGATATAATTTTTTATGGGTCGAAAATAATATGGATTATTTGGGAGTTAAACTGACTAGAGATGTAAATAGAATAATGGAAATTAATTTCTTGGATTTATTGCAAAATCTTGAAAAAACGAAGAAATTTAGAAATATCTTTCTGGGGAAGGATTAATGTAGTGAATTCATACGTCATTCCAAAATGGAACTATTTGTTCCAAATGTTGCCATTAAGTATTTCTGACCAGTGGTTGCAATTAATACAGAAAAGTTTCACTCAGTATATATGGAAAGGCAAAAAACCTAGACTGAGTCAGTCAACACTAACACAAAAACTGAATAAAGGAGGACTGGCTTATCCTTTAATATCAAATAATTATAGGGCAGCGATAATTTTACATATATACAGGATGCAAGTAGAAGAAAACAAAAACAAAAGTTGGTATAAAACAGAACTTACTGCAGGAGGAACCCCCAGCTTGGATTGTTTAATTTGGAACACTACCAAACTTTTTCAAAAAAAAGATTATCCTAGTTTAACATTAACACATTTAATGAAGAGTTGGCTTAAAATTAAAAAAACCCTAAAAATAGAAAACAAAATTCCAACTTATTTAAGTTTAGATTTTGTAGAACATCAAGTTGCAGATATAAATTTTAAAAACTGGAATCAAGCAGGAATTTTGCGACTGTCTCAACTACTTGTAAAAGAAAAAAATAAAACCTTTGCTCAATTAACACAGGAATATAACTTACCATCAAAAGAGTTGTTTAACTATTTAAGACTTAAAAGTTTTTTGATAACACATCTAATTGTATCAAACACTAATTTGAATAATGGGCTAAATATACTCTTTAATACAGATAAGATAAATAAACCACTCTCAAAAGCTTTGGTATTAAGCAAAATGTGCAACAAAGCAAAAATTCCAACAGCTATAACCGCCTGGAAAGAAGAATTAAATATGGATATAAATATTAGGCATTGGGGTTTCTCATTGACAGAAGCTTCGAAGTATATACACT